TGTTACGTGAGACTTTCACGATTTCACGATTCTTGCTACGATCTGTGTCCAGATCAATCTTTATTTTTCGGATAGTAAACCACACAGGGTTAATTTTAATGCGAAGCCTGTTATGCAGGACATAGTCTGCCTTTCATTTCAATGAACAGGGTATTCCAATGGAGCGCGGAGCGGTAGTAAGAAGACCGAGCATCGGTCGTACCTCAAATGTCATGCAATGCCCTCAGTACTGGAATGAGTACGACAAAACTTGGCATTTTCCCAAAATAGTCACACCGTGTGCGCCCCCCGCATGCCTCGGCTGCCTGTGGAATTCGCAACAGAAAAAATAAAACAACAGTTGTAGATCTGGTTTTTTGATTTTTTGATTTTTGATGCAAAACCACTTGAGAGATGCCCTAAAGTCATGTAGCTCAAAAATGTCACACGGCGTGCGATAAGAGAGGCAAATCGTCATTTTGCGGTACTAAACCAAAACATTTTTCTCTCTGCCTCTCCGAAACAGCCTTTGGTCTCCATACTAAGTTTTTCGTTGCGAAGCCTGTTGCGCGGGACATTGTCAGCCATGTAATTATTCTTAATAGTATATTCACATGATACGCGGAGTGGTGGTAAGAAGAACAATAGTTCCCACTCCGTGCTCCTCTCCTCTACTGGTCTGAATGAGGGCGCGCCCGGGCAGGAGTTAGGGGCATGCTGGGAGGAGTACGGGCCCCTTTCCCCCGTCTATTTTTGTTATTCTTACTTCCGCTCCGCACCTCATTGCATTGTTGAAATTGTTTTCAAATACTCTACGCTTGCAGGGACACTCCGTGCAACAACCCCCCCCCGCCCCCTCACTTCTTGTACGTCCCTCCCTTCGGTAGATTAGGCTTGGCTGCACCCGCACGCTGTGGCCGGCTGCTTTTCTCGGCTCTGCGCTCTTTGTCTGGTCTTTTTTAAATGGATCCGTTTCTACCACACGCTCCGCGGTCTAGAGCGCCAAGTCGTGGAGACCGCCTGTTGCATCGCAATAAAGTATCTACGAAAGCTGAAATGCAGAAGAGTGCAGACAACAAGAAACCGGAAGTCTTCATGCTTATAGCATAGTGATTTCAGTTTTCTTTTTCCCCGCGTTCTTTTGCATTTCAGCTTTAGGCCTACCTGAATGCTTTATTCCATATAACTTTAGTACCGCCAACAACTGGCACTGTGCTGTACCAGGCACAGTACCAGGTGGTCAGTGCCTTGGTCCGAGCAAACACCTCTATGTTCAGTGTTACAAGGTAGATGTACGCCAAACGACGTCTCGCGTAACAGGCTTCGCGATATCTCACGAAACACTGTTTCGCTGCGACGCGCCTGGCATACATCTGCCTTGGCCTGCGGCGCTCACACCTGAGTCGGGTAGTGGGAAAATGTACACAAAGGTACATGCCTGCGGCCCGTCACAGCACATCACCTCGACTAAGCATGTAGGGTTGTACATTTTTTCGCTTATTTTCATCAAAAATACCCTCTAGCGCCTCAACGGTTTGAGCTAGAGGAAATCGGTCAAAATTTTCGCCCGTAGGGCTCTACTCGGTTTTGATCTTTTTAAACACCGATTTTTGAGCTAGGATGCTCATCTTCGAAATCGACCTGTCTCTTTATGACTCAAAACGACCCTGACAATCCCAGGTCGTTAGCCCAATTTGTTCTCGACTTATCGTGCGGACAGACACACAGAGAGACAGACAGTCAGGAACAGTTTTTTTCCGACTAGACGGAGTCATAGGCTTCGCTAATTGCTCAGCCAACGACTGACAAAATGCTTACTTCTTTATTTACATGATTAGGATACACAATTTACTTTCTTTCATCAAGAGTTCGTTTTGCAGTTTGCACGAAGTGTTAACGTTTTTTCTTCAGCCCAGACGCTATAATTTCGCTATCATGTATTGTTAACTCCGTTTCTGGGCGGAACTTGTTTCTTCTTGGTACACGCTCAGCCCGCATCGGGTCCTTTTGCGCTAATCCGCCAGAGGGTCGTTCCATGCACAGAAAGGGCGTTCTATGCCACCTTGTCTCTGAAGACTGTCGCCTTTGGTTGAGGAGAGACAGCCAATACCAGCCCGCAGGATGTTTTAGGCCGCTTAAACCATCCCGGTAAAGTAGAAATAAAGAAGAATGCGAAAAAACAATAAAACGGACGCTCGGCTACACCGGAAGCAAAAGATTAAAAACTGTTGGGTGCGGCGAAGAGCGTGGTACTGCCCTCGCTGAGCCCAGCTCCTCCCGCGCCCGATCATTTTTCTTTTTCTCCTAACGGAATACCCCTTTTAAAGGGTAGGCGAGGTTTTGTGACAAAGTTGTCAAAGAATGTCTCACTGCGTGCGTATAGAGGGGAAACTTGCTATTTCATGATCCTTTGTTCACAAATATCGTCGGTTTGCCTCGCCGCAGGATCGTTTAGGCACCATTGTGGTAAAGAGAACTATAAGTCGAAATTTTCGTCTGTTAGCCTGTTCGCAGGACAGTTTGGACGCTCGGCCCAGTTTTTGTTTTGTCAAAAGTGCAAATGGCTGACCCCTGCGTGAATTAAAGTTCAAATTTTATTTTCGTGACATCAAGCAAAGCCTGTTACGCGACACATAGGCACTTATGCCTTCATAGTTGCAATGAGGCTTTCAAACTACTACATACACGTTGACAGTGTTCTTCGTGGGGTAAAGTGAACCCTGTTACGCGAGACATAGTCTTTCGTACATTATCCGTTATACTTGCAATCTTGGGCTGTGCAGCATTTTTGATTTGGTGTGGCATGCCCTCAAAGAAGGCTTCCGATGAAGTTGAAATGCCTAGAAATCAGGGGAAGAAAATAAAGAAAATCAATACGCTTTAGCATGAGGACTTCCACTTTGTCGTTCCCTGCGGGCTCACGTATAAACAGCGCGTACTTTGTCGCCTTGGGTCACGAGAGAGAGCCCCAAGGACCCCGCGAGAATTAAGCATGTCCGTTAAGCTGAAATGTCCTTGTATATTACTGCAGAGCCTGTTACGAAGAACATAGTCTGCCATCTTCATTTCTTCATTATTTCAACCGGAAGCTGTGCAGCTATCCGCTTTTTCTTTATTTCTTTAATTTCCTTGAAACACAACTTACAGCTATCCATTTGGCAACAAAGCATTCCGTTAAAGCTGGAATACATTAGAAGTCATTCCGTGACCAGCCATCTATGGGACGCTCCGAGCCTAAACGACACCCCCACCCCGCTCTGTCCACTTTTTCTGCCCTCCTCTCCGCCCTCTTCATTTCTACTGCCAGCCGCCGCTTGTGGTGTCGGGTACTTTTGCAACACAGCCTCAGAGGCCGCTGAAGACGAACCGACACACGGAAAACTATAGTTAAGACCTAGAGTACCATGCGCTGACCATTCTCTTTTCCTGTTGTCTCATACATGAGGTGTAAAATACTGGTTTCATTATTTGACTTTGACATGCTGGTACACACCAGACCTCCGCCAACTTCGACTTGTAATTTCAGTATTGGGAAGGACCTCCACGAAATCGGTCGAAAAGCACCTGTTTCTTGAGCTTTCCGTGATGCTCTGTGCTGTCTTGCCCTTTTCAACTTTCCTTTCTACCAAACGCCATCGAAGCCCTTGAAAAAATAGCCCAAGAAGGCCACTGTCAAGAAACAGAACAAGGCATCCCCCTAAGACCTCCGGACACGGTGCTACGGCGCCACTCCCACGAAGGAGGTCCGAGGCACCTACAGCTTGCGCTTGCTGCTCTCTCTCTGTCACACAATCATTGATATAAATGACAAAACTTGCATTTGAAAAGGTGTGCCCGCTCTTCGCGGCTATCACAACCACTTACTCAAAGCCCTTGAAAAAATAGCCCAAGAAGGCCACTGTCAAGAAACAGAACAAGGCACCCCCCTAAGACCTCCGGACACGGTGCTACGGCGCCACTCCCACGAAGGAGGTCCGAGGCACCTACAGCTTGCGCTTGCTGCCCTCCCTCTGTCACACAATCATTGAGATACATCACAAAACTTGCATTTGGAAAGGTTTGCCAGCTGTTCGCGGCTATCACAACCACTTACTCAATAAGCCCTTGAAAAAATAGCCCAAGAAGGCCACTGTCAAGAAACAGACCAAGGCACCCCCTAAAGACCTTTGGACACGGCGCCTACGGGGCCACTCCCACGAAGGAGGTCCAAGGCACCCACAGCTTCCGCTTGCTACACCCCATCTGCCTCCCCCGGTGACTTACTCATTCTTTGACTTCATCTGATTCTTAAGCTTATGAGTGTGTCAGGTCTTGACGCCTGGTTTGGTGCTAAACCGCAGGGGAAATAAGTATTCTTGTTTTCGGAGATCTGAGCGACTCCGCGGACCCTAGCTCCTTTTCTTATGCAGCATTGGACTCTTGCATCTGCAACTTTAATGTTAAACATTTAACATTTAACAACATTCTTTGCTGCATTTGAAAAGCTCGCTTTGCGGGGAGGCGATTTCATCACCTCATTCCCCGTCGTAACGTCAACATTCAACCTTACATTGACATAAGTTTCCATTTTATATATCCTTTTTTACAAACGCTTTCCGGAAAGGCAGTCATTCCTTATTTTCCGTGTGACACTTCATCTTCACCTTTGTGTTAGCCGTGCAAAGCAACCTTCGAAGCCTCGGAGAATGGGATCCTGGAGGCTGAGGTATATGGCAGTGCCAGCCAACACTCCTCTTTGGCCCAGAATTCAGGTGAGACGGGCGGACACTCTCAGCCCCGGGTGTTCAATCGGCCATACTGTGACCGTAACTTCTAAAGTAGCGGGCAGCTGAAGGGGCTAGCGGAGGGGCCGGTAAGCTTCTGGCTCCGGCTAATGGCCGGCAGACTCGTTCTGCCCGCCGCTTCCGCTATATCTATCTGATGAAAAGTCCTGTTGCGTCAGTGGCGCATCCCAATTGAGGCTCCGTGGAGGGTGGGATAAGTCCGGTAGATGAAATTCAATTTTCACTTTTATGGCTTCCATGTATATAGGGCTTGTAGACCCTCAATCTACACCGCCGTTAGCACGGTATGCTATCACTGCGGAAACATCACCGCATAATTTTGATATTACTTGTCCTGCTCACAGTATGGTCCACGCTGCCAGCGCGGGTGCATGGGCTGTCTTGTCACAGAATCACTTTAACCCCGAGGTTGTTGACGGGCTCCTTGCCACGGGTGATGTTTACTTTAGAATGGGTGGCAGCAATGCACAGATGACTCCCATGGAGCTGCCCCGAGATATGGTCATCTTGTGGATGGAAGCAAGGTTCACTCAAACAGTTTGCATTTTAGAAAGTAACTTCCATCCAGGAGCCACTGGCTTACAACATGTGACCAAGCAGCTTAGTGCTGCTCTTGCTATCTCACTACACAACACCTTCTTTCTCTGCTCTTCGATAACATCTACCACTTCATTTTGGAGACATGATGGGGCCTTTTACAGCTTCAACACTGAAAGGGCGAACAGTGCAGGTGTGGTTGACCAGCAAAATGAGCTTGAAAACAAAGTAAGGGTATTCCGGTACGGGACTCTTGACTCTCTTGTCCAAGCATTGTGTCTTGCAGCAGGCTCCTCCTCTTTTCACGTTTACCGTTTGAAAGTCATTCCTCTGGAGGATGGCAAGAGTAAGGATGAAGAACAGGCCCAAGCATATGGTACACAAGGTCCTACAGTCGCCTTGCAACCATTGAACATAGATGTTTCTACATCTCTTACCTTCACTTCGGCGGACACCAGATCTGTCTCTCAGGTCAAACCTTCAGTACCACGTAACTCTGTTAGCACTCCTGCAGGTCCAACTGGTTCCCCTGCCGTTGACCAGTCCTGTGACAAACGCGATGCATCTGAGGATGAAGAGGGTTTTCAGACTGTCAGAAAAAAGGGAAGATCTTCACGAAGGGTTACAAGCAATCAAACTAAGTCTGTTTCACATACCTCGTCAGAACAGACAGACACGGGTGAAACTGTATCCCACTCAGCTGATCCTCTGCGTTTCTCTGCCGTTCGAGACATTTTACAAACCACATCTGTTTCTACTGGAGACATCAGCGCTCAGCCTGTAAGAAGAAAAAATAAGTCCCCCAAAAAGGTACAGCGTTCACGGTCAAATGGTTCATCACTTACCTCTTCCATGCTGTCAGATGCCGCTGGAGTTTCTACTGTGTCGACTGATCCTGATGACACCTCATCAGTTGAGCTTGTTCCTCAAACGCACGGTTCTTCTTCTGAAAGTGAGGGTGGTCAGCCTGCACGGAATAAAGGGGGTCGCCCTAAGAAAATTAAACGGGGTAGGCCAAAGGTTTCATTACTTACTTTGGCAGAACAGAGAAACGAGGCCAGCAAACGGTACAATAAGAAACAGCCGGATGTCAACCGTGCTGCTGTGGCTCGGTATACCGCAGAGAACCCTGAAATACACCGTGCAGCTGTGGCTCGGTACACCGCTGAAAACCCTGAAATAAACCGTGCTGCTGTGGCTCGGTATACAGTAGGAAACCCTGAAATAAACCGTGCAGCTGTGGCTCGGTATACCGCAGAGAATCCTGAAATAAACCGTGCTGCTGTCGCTCAGTATAGTGCTAATAATCCACAAGTAAACCGTGCGGCTGTGCGACAGTATGAACGGGCAACTGTTCGCCATTTACCACCAGAACTTCGGAGGTCCAATTTAATTGGTGAATTTCAGGGCGATGAGCTCAATAAGGTCTCTGAGTACAAACTTAAAAATCCTTCGCTGCTTTCACCTACCTGTGCACAGTGCCCGCATTGCAAGGCACGACTTTTTAATGAAGAGTCAGATCGTAAGGCGTGGTGCTGCAAGGGTGGAGCCTTCAATGTCTTGAAAGATATCCCGCCCCTCGACGCTGACTTTTACAGCAATCCCGCATTTTTGCAGAATCCACGCCTGTTTAATGATGCATATGCGTTTTCCGCTTTAGTCATCCCACAGGGTTTTCATCACCCCCGGCGAGGTTTAGCATTTATCAAAATTCAAGGACGGGTCTACCACAGGGTCTTTGACATTAATTGGCAGGGGCGCTTCCCGAACCACAGCGCTATGTACATTGATGACGGGCAAAGCCGCACGGCCAATTTTTTTGAACCCCATTCACTTGACCCGTTTGTAGCCACAAGTATCTCTGCCTACCTTAACACGTGCAACCCACTCATCCCCTTGTTTCGACAGCTGGGTTCTGAGGAGAGCGAAGAAGCACACCTTGTCTTCGAAAACACAACGCGACAGAGAGATGGCCCACTGTTTGAGCAGCGAACCTCAAGGGAGGTAGCAGCATTGATTTGTACAGACCCTTCATCTTACAATCCGCGGAAGTTGACAATTTGGAAGAAGGAGCGTAATTCTTTTCCACAGTCTATTGACTCATTTCATCCCCTACTAGAACCTTTCCAGTATCCTTTACTTTATCCGCATGGCACGCCTGGTTGGCACATAAATAGGTTAGACAATTATGGTAGAAAGTTATCTCAGCTGGACTACACTCGGTGCCTTATTCTGTCACAGCCACGGTTTTCTCAATTCAACAGACTGTCACAGACGTGGCTTGTTGATATGTACGCGAGATACGAGGAAGAAAAGCTTAACTTTATTTACCATAGCCAGCGAGACGGGGCTCAATCTGGCGGACTTCGATCGGCACCGCTCGATGAAGTTCGTGCTTCTGTAGATTCTGTCAGACCTCTTCGTATACCTCCGTCTGCTCCAGACAATTCTAATACCCCTCCAGCTTCATCAAGAGGGCGTGGCAGAGGCCGTGGACGGGGAAGTAACACCGGTTGGGGTGCACGGAGACCAGCGGAAGAAACAATCCGTGCTCCTGGAGCTACACCAGCTCACGCTCTTCCTGGAAACAGACCATTTGTGAATCAGGTTCTTAGTGAGATAAACACAAATGAAACTATAACTGGGGAAGGGGGCGCTGTTCCAGGACGCATCTATCTCCCTGAATCTTTCACTGGTGGTCCTCGGTATATGAAAAACCGCTATCAAGACGCTATGGCTATTGTAGGCAGGTTAGGCAACCCATCGTACTTTCTAACCATCACTGCTAATGCAAAATGGGATGAAATAACACAGTCAACGCACCCTGATAATCCCAGTGGAGAACCAGCTGTAATAAGCAGGGTGTTCCAATTAAAACTTCTTGAGCTCCTGCGGGACTTAAAAAGTGGTGCGTTTTTTGGAAAAAAAGCGTACATCATATATGTGATAGAATTTCAAAAACGAGGGTTGCCACACGCTCACGTGGCCTTCCGAGTAGAGAACGGGGCAATGCAGACCTCTGAGGTGGACCGTGTGATACGAGCAAACATCCCATCTGAGGATGAAGCTGGCGGAAGACTTAAAGCATTAGTTTTACAACACATGGTTCATGGTCCGTGCGCCAATCGCACCAATCTCCCATGCTGGGACGAAGACAGGCGTGCATGTTCCAAGTTCTTTCCGAAACCTCACACTGATGTTACTCACGTTGATGAACGAGGATTTTGGCACTACCAAAGAAATTCCGAAAACACTGCTACAAAGGAATACCGTGGGCAAACTGTTACAATCAGCGACTGTGACATTGTGCCATATAATGCAGCGCTTCTCCTTAAGTATAATTGTCACCTTAACGTCGAAATTGCGTCCACCCGGAAAATTATTCATTATTTATTTAAGTATATGACGAAAGGAACGCCACTTACGCGTGTCTTTGTGGCACGAGAGGAGGACAACGGGGATGAAGTAGAACAGTACATCACGCGGCGGCATATTGGAGCCTCGGATGCAGCTTGGCGTCTGCTCGAATTCCATGTAACTGGCAGAGATCCAACCGTGCAACAGCTCCCTATTCACCTCCAGGACAGGCAATATGTACTGTTTCGCCCTGGGGAAGAAGCTGATGCTATCGAAAACTCTTCTTCGCCCTTGATTCAATACTTCACTCGTCCAAACACACCGGAGTTTGACAATCTCACCTACTTGGATTTTCACGAAAAATACAACTTGCTTACAAAAGAACCGACGAATTCGAGGAACCCTGTTATTCCCCATCCAAATGGCACGCATTTTATAAGGAAGCGCAGCAAAGAGGACAGCAAAGTTTGCCGCATGTTTTGGGTGGCGCCAAATCGAGGAGAGCTCTTTTATCTGCGCGTACTCCTAACCCACTTGCCTTGCCGTGGGTTCGACGATCTTTGCAGTAGGGGTGGTATCGGCTGCACTTCGTTGCAGGGTGCTGCAAGGGCTCTAGGCTTGGTTAATGATGATGATGAATACCTGGCAGCAATGCACGAGGCAGCAGTATTCATGACTGGCCCTAGGCTCCGGGGATTCTTCGTCCTTCTATGCAATGTTGGAGCTCCTGTATCTAATATCTGGGCTGACGACCAGCTTCGCAACAAGATATGTGCAGACTTGCTAGAGCGTTATCCCGGTAGTCCAGACAGAGCATACAACGCTGCTCTACTTGAGATTGATCGTGCTTTGCGTAGGCAAGGGTCTGAGCTTGCAGATCACATGCTTCCTTCAGCTCAAGATGATACCACTGAGTTGGGTCGAGAGCGCCTCTTGTACGACGTTCAAACTCTCAAAGACTTCGTACAGAGGTGGGAACCCGATCTCTCTGAAGAGCAGAAGTCTGTGCTCAAGTACGTCCGTGATGTTTGCAATCCACAATGCAGTGATCCCCCCACCTCTCGCTTAATGTTCTTGGATGCGCCCGGGGGTTACGGCAAAAGTACGCTGCTCCAGGTTGTCGCTGCGGACGCAAGGTCCAGAGGAGATATTGTTCTTTGTGTAGCGAGCTCTGGCATTGCTGCCCTTAACCTGGATGGTGGCACAACTGCCCACTCTATGTTTAAGCTCCCGCTCGATCTTGGTGACGGAACAGGGTACTGGAACCTGCGAAACACCCAGCAACGTGCCGACTTGATTCGCGAAGCCAAGCTCATCATTTTTGATGAAATATCTATGGCACACAAGTTTCTTGTCGAGATACTTGACAGATCCCTTCGAGATCTCATGGGTAGAAACGAAGTGATGGGTGGCAAGGTATGTCTTTTTTCTGGTGATTTTCGTCAGATTCCTCCAGTCGTCCCCAGCGCAAAGACTCCATCTGATGTAGTGTTTGCGTCGCTGAAGTGTTCCCATTTGTGGCCCCACTTCCGTCAGTTCCGTCTGACTCAACCTCAGCGAACGCGAGGTGATGATGAGTACTCATCGTTTCTCCTCTCTGTGGGCAATGACACTTTACCACAACACGTGTTTGGAGAAGGAGCTGACACCCACAGACTTATGGCACTTCCAGACATCCAGGCTCTTCACAAGCTCGACGACCTTATCCAATGTGTCTATCCACCCAACATTTTACGTGATCCAGATGCTTGTGCTACCCGAGCCATCCTTTGTGCCCACAACATAAATGTTCGGGAGGTTAATAATGCTGTGATGGCGCAACTTCCTGGAGAAACGCATCAGCTTGTGAGCGTCGACTTCGTTGAACAAGAAATGGAGGGGCTGGATCTTGATTTAGAGACACTTCATTTGGCTGAAGGAAAGGGGGTTCCAAATCACGTCATTAATTTAAAGGTGGGCGCCGTGTGTTTGATTATGAGAAATTTAAACATGGCTGAGAAACTTGTCAACGGCAGCAAGGTTATTATCGAGCGCATAAGCCCTCGACTTATTACAGTGCGAAAGCCAGGAAGCCAAGAATTAATTGGCATTCCTCGGATCCTTTTCAAATTCCCTGTGATCGACGGCAGCGCTGTCCTGATGTGTCGTCGTCAGTTTCCTCTCCAGGTCTGCTACGGCATGACCGTACACAAAAGCCAAGGTCAGACTATTGCGAAGGCCGGCATAGACCTCCGTTCAGATTGTTTCACGCACGGTCAGCTGTACGTCGCACTCAGCCGTACACGCCGCGCTGAGCATCTTTCAGTGCTGGTTTCACACGATCGATTGATGAACGGAACTACATATGTCAAAAACATTGTCTATCAGGAGCTTCTTCACGACACACATCCGCCTTAGACAGTTTCTTACTAATCGAAAAACAATTCTGTGATGCCTTGTTTTCTGACATTATTCCGTGTGAAATCTTACACCATCAATTTTGTGTGATATATTTTATACACAAATTTTTCAGTGATATATTTTGTACTAACATTTTTCTACCTTTATTTTTATTTAAACATTCTTCTGTGATATCTACTTTTTTAGAACGTAACTGTGATACATTAGCTGTGATACATTGGCTGTGATACATTAGCTGTGATACATTAGCTGTGATACATTAGCTGTGATACATTGACTGTGATACATTATATCTGATTTGATGCCATTATTTTTTACCTATCGTTATTCTTCAATTATTGTTTTCATTATCATCGTACTTATAAAACGTTCTATTGTTACAATTTTCATATCGGCTCACGAAGCCCTCTTTCCAACCTCTTCGTGGTGTGAGCTAGAAACGTTGACTGGGCATTCTTGCACGCAACGGCAAATCGGTTAGAGGTAAAGCTGTATTTAATCACAGGAACCCATTTTCAAACTGTACACTTTTTAGTGTTCACAACAACAGTTCTTACTCCTGAGGATTTAACATACATAAAACTTTGAGCACATACACATATTATCTATTTATAGCAAGCAAATTTATAAACCATATACGTTTTAAGCTGATGAGCAATACAATGGTGACATTTTAGTTTTAAATGTGACATTTACATTAATTTGCTCGTAAATACATTAATCCTTTGCTTCCATTACGGAAAGTTGTGGCTTACATTATGACATAAAAAGTAACACACGTCGATGATGGTTCACCAAGTTAATGTGTATGCTGAAAGTCGACTGAAAGAGCGATAAACACTTCATGCTCTGGCGGTCTCCTTTCAACTTCGCATTTGCTTTTTAGGGATGGCGCTTTTCATCCCAGCGGCTACATGTGGAGTGAACCATTTCCAACAATCTATTACTCCAATAATCAGACCTAGAAGACAACCTTCTCCTACTCGTATACAAAAACACAGCATCATGCTTGTAATTAAACGAGATATTGGAGTAATAGATTGTTGGACGGCGGAGGGCGGGGTAGCCGCCACAGCGGGGAGCATTACACATAAACAAGGTATCTCCCCGCCTCCTGGAACAAAATTAACATACATAACATATACATTATACGATACTAATTGTAAGTTAAATGCATTTACATACCACACCCACGGCCTGGAATCTGTTGACCTCCACGTGGTCAAGGCTGGAAACGATGACAGCGATGCCTTCCTGTCAGCGGATAAGAGACAAAAAAACACGTAAGCATTAGCTTTCGAAATCCACTGCATTTAGTTCAGATATATACACGAGGCACTTCCTCCCTCTTACTTTCTTACTCAATACTATGCAGAAAATAAAACAGAATAAATTCGATATAAAT